CGTTGTTTCTCTTTCTGTGAGTTCATTATTGGTATATAAAAATGTCATAGACTTCTGGGTGTTAATTTTGTATCCTGCTACATTGCCGAAATCATTTATTAAGTCTAATAATTTTTTATGGAATCTTTAGGGTTTTCTATGTTCTCTGTGAATAATGATAGTTTTACTTCTTTTCCAATTTGGATACCTTTTATTTCTTCTTCTTGTCTAGTCACTATAGCTAGCACTTCCAGTACTATATCGAACAGGAGCGGTGAAAGTGGGCATCCCTGTCTTGTTCTCGTTCTTAGATGAAATGGTTTTAGTTTTTTCCCATGGAGTATGATGTTGGCTGTAGGTTTGTCATATAAGGCTTTTATTATGTTGAGGTGTGATCCTTCTATTCTTATTTTGCTGAGGGTTTGTATCAAGAAAGGGTGTTGAATTTTGTCAAATGCTTTTTCTGCATCAATTGATATGACTATGTGATATTTATCTCTCAATTTGTTTCACACTATGAATCTTATGTTGAATATGGAAACATCATTCTCTTGCCATTTCACAAGGAATAGGTACTGAAAATATTTTAAGTACTTTTTTGACCACTCTTGCAAACTCTAGCTCCCTTAAAATCTATAAAAATTATGAAGATATCTGTGAACATGAAACATATGTAGTCATTGTCTCACTTCCAGTTTGACTCAGCTCTCACAGAGATTACTGACAGCAAAAATCTAATGTGAAATGCTCAAAGCTATTCTCACCAGTAACTGTTAACCGAAGGCAAAATGTACATATACATCCTTCATGCAAGGAACTGCTCCTAGAAGATATAATGATGATGGCAACTAGGGAAAAAGCATAAAAATAAACATACCAAGCTATAACAAGAATTTAAGTTTACCAGACTAGGAGTGACATTTGTATATCTCTACGTGTAGTGAAAATGAAATTGCAAACATATCTAACCCTGAATTGTTTATAATATAATAGGAAGAAAATATAGAAATCAAATTTCCAAAAGTCAAAAAATTCTTATAGTGTGTGATAGTCACTCTTATAAATTCTATCTATTCTTGAAAATGTAATTTGTGTGTGTGTGTGCTTAAAATGTTGAGGTCCTTAATTATAAGACAAAGAAATACTTTATTAAAAGAGCTATAGGTGAAGAATAATTGGAAATTATCTTACCATTTTATAATTACATATTATTCAAATTCTTGTTCCTGTTAGTAAATATTGGTGATTATTAACAGGATGAGCAAAGGAGTCTTGATTGACCATGAAAAAAGTGAAATACCAAATTGCTCTTGTGTAAAACAGCACATAGGTGAATGTTTTGTGATTGTGAGTTTTATATAAAAATGATTAAAATATTTCAGTAAACCAAGATCTTTGGAGGAGATACAGATCCTCCACTTCACAATTCCTTTGTTACTTAATAAAATCAACTTGCTTTCCAAGGGTGTGATTTTGGTTTTAGACTTGCATGCTGAATTGTAAATTTTCTGTATTGCAAGAATGATACAAAACCAATGATTATAAATAATTTTTAGAGAATTGAGATAAAAGAAGAAAGGAAAAGTCAAACCTTATGTTATCTAAGAAAATTGGGGCAATTTTAAGAAGTTTCTGTAATCAAATTCATCTAGTAAATTAATGCTATTCTCTGTCAATTGTATTAATCAATTGTGTTGTCTGCTATTGCCTTTGTTAGTTGACAAAAAAACAATATTTTTCTGTGAAGGTGCTGTAAATTTCTTAGTATGTTTAATTTTTTAAAATTCAGTGGAATTTATATCTATTTCTTTGATGGTTTGTAAGATTAAATGTGAAAATATAGTGTATGAAAGATAACTTTCTTCAGGGATCAAATCAATTTTGATGAAATTTTGATGGAGTGGTCATAATTTTTTCCCTTTAAGCCAATCCATGATTTGCCCATAGGCTAATAAACTAAAAGCAGCTATTTAGAACCCAAACTAACTTTTGATTTGCAAAGTAATGACTTTAATATGGTAATAATTCATAATGTTAAATCCAATCAAATAGTATTTAGAGGTTGTTAGAGAATGATAAAAAATGTAAATAAATTCCTATACTAAGTTTAATAAACCAATAAAAAGGTGAAAGCCAGATATTATTAGGTACATTATTTGGGATTGGGGTTAAGAGGTAATTCTCATTATATTCATTGATCTTAGACTTCTGCACATAAATTTTTTAATGAGAAAATAAGCCCTAAGTCTATCCACTTGGAACTCTTCTGTCAAAACAAAACACTTGTCTTTTCTTTTTTCACTTATAAAGAGGCCCAGTGCATGAATTTGTGCACCAGTGGGGTCCCTCAGCCTGGCCTGTGGGATGGGGCCTAAACCAGCACTCCCACATCCCCCGAGGAGTCCCGGATTGTGAGATGGCACAGGCCAGGCTGAGGGACCCCACCAGTGCACAATCGGGGCTGGAGAGGGATGCAGGAGGTTGGCCAACTGGGGAGGGGCCACAGGAGGGCTCCAAGGCGTGTCTGGCCTGTCTCGCTCAATCCCAATTGGCCGAACCCCAGGAGCAAGCTAACCTACCAGTCAGAGCATCTTCCTCCTGGTGGTCAGTGCACGCCATAGCGAGTGGTTGAGTGGTCTTAACATATCATTAGCATATTATGCTTTGATTGGTTGAACGGCCGACCAGACACTTAGCATATTAGGCTTTTATTATATAGGATTATTTACAACAAGAATAAAAATATTTACTAAATAACTATTATAAAATGACTTCTACCCTCCAAAACTTAAGATATTGAATTAGTACAGAGAACATCAACTCATTTTCCTATTGAAGTTTTATTTTCAATATTGCTTAATAAATTACAATTATATTTTGATGAATATTACCAAAGCATTTTATTACTTGTTAGACAGTGACTTGAAAGATATTTTGTCTACAGTCAATAATTTATGCTTAGATATTTGAAAACATTTCATTTTTATAATTGTTAACAAATAAGTCAGACTGGGCTGGTTACTATGCTGTATTTTGAAATTTGTTCAGACTTTAGATTCCAAATCATCTAGCTTGTTTAGAAATATGAATTAACTAAAATAATCTAATATGATTTGGAAGTAAAATTTGAGCCATATATTCATAATTAGTTTAGTACTTATGTTTTTAAAATTAAATGGCAACTACCAAGTATTAGTATTATGTTATATTGCAAATGTCGATTATTTTACACTAACATATAACAAAATCAAAGTTATCATGAGTTCTGTAAAATTATTCTACCTTAAGAATCTATTTCATTCACTCTGCATATTTGCTGCATAAAACTTGAACTTAAAAGAGATAGGGCAAGGACATGCATGAGCAGAAAAAGTTCAAGAAAAGATTTACATAAGTTGTGTCAATATTATTGGGGACCTGGTGAAAAAGGTGAAGGGAATAAGCAAAAAAATTAAAATAAACTCATAGACACCGACAACAGTATGGTGATTATGAGAGGTAAAGGAGGATGGGGGGGTAAAAGAGAGTAAAGGTGGAATAAATAATGGTGGGAAAACACTTGATTTTGGTTGGTGAACACACAATAAAATATACAGATGACCTATTAGAGAATTGTACACTTGAAACCTATATAATTTTATTAACCAATGTTACCCCAATAAATTCAATTAAAATTTTAATTAAAAAAACTAGTGTGCCTTTGGTTAAAAAATAATTGTTATAGTTCACCCTATTACACAACTCTTTATTGACATGAAACACAAGTCTGTTATTTCAGTCATTGTCCTTTGTATGCCATAGATTTTTCTTTGTTTATGAGGAAAAAACTGAGAGCTTGCATGGAATAATAGTGAAGGTTTCTTTCACCTGCATTGTTCAAAAATCTTTTAAATTAGTTATTTAATAAAATAGATAAAAGAAAAACTGTCTCTCATTTAATGCAGTTGATCACCATGGTTCTACCCATTCTCTGGTTAATCTACACTCACTCTGCATTCAGGGATGGGATTTGGATGCCACCAGTGGAACACGTACCTGTCCTGCTCCTTACTATTGGTCTAGATACAGGGGTGGGCAAACTTTTTGACTCGAGGGCCACAATGGGTTCTTAAACGGGACCGGAGGGCCGGAACAAAAGCATGGATGGAGTGTTTGTGTGAACTAATATAAATTCAAAGTAAACATCATTACATAAAAGGGTACAGTCTTTTTTTTTTTTTTTTTTTTTTTAGTTTTATTCATTTCAAACAAGCCGGATCCGGCCTGCAGGCCATAGTTTGCCCACCCCCTGGTCTAGAAGCTGCATCTGACGATGAAGGCAATCATTGTATAAAAGGGACTTCCTTACTGTATCAGAAGGTCACGATTTAACCTGTTTTAAATCGTAGGTGGTCCAGGAAGTGGAAAGGGTACTCAAAGTTTGAAAATTGCAGAACGTTATGGATTCCAGTACATTTCAGTGGGAGAATTATTAAGAAAGAAGATCCACAATGCCAGCAGCAACAGGAAATGGAGTCTTATTGCCAAAATAATTACAACTGGAGAATTGGCCCCACAGGTACTACTGTATAATTTGCTTTTTCTTTTTTAACACTTGTGTAGTTTTTATGCCAGTTGTGAGTATACTTAGCTTAATTGTGATTTTTTCATCCTTTTTCTTTTATAAAAGGAAACAACAATTACAGAGATAAAACAGAGATTGATGCAAATTCCTGATGAAGAGGGCATTGTTATTGATGGATTCCCAAGAGACGTTGCCCAGGCTCTATCTTTTGAGGACCAAGTAAGAATGTCTTCTTATATTTTAAATGACCTATTTTTTACCTAAAACTTAGAGATTTTTTAAAAAGATTTCTTGGAAGACTTGCTGTTGTTGGGAATGAATTCTGGTCTGAAAACAGGCAAGTACAGCAGTGCGAGGTGGCAGACGGTCATTTCCTTGGCACACAAGCTTAAAAACTGAAGACAGTCTCTGCCAAAAAGAAAAGATAAAAATTAATAGCAGATTTAATTTTTTTATTGGAAATTCTAATCTCTGTAGCCTTTATTTCAAAAGCTTTCCCTAAGATTGTATTTTTAATCTTTAATTAGTAAAACAAGTCTTACTCGTTACTGCCCAGGGATATACAACTGTCACCTGCATTTGCATTGTTACCAATGAAGGACGCCCTCTTCCTGGGGTTGTGAAATACTAAACTATCTACCAATCACCAAGGAGGGTTCAGGTTGCCAAAGTTACTCAGATTTGAGTAGATTATGCCTGCTCTGCACCCAACACATCTATTTTAAAGGGAAAGAAATCAATGAAAACATTTTGAATATCTATTTAAATTTTGAAAAGCTAGTGTAACTGATTTTTATTTATTTAAAAATTTGAATTAATATTTGAAATATTTCAAAAATATTATTGGTTATAAAAATTTTAAGTCCTGGTATAAAAAGTGAAAGTTCATTGATACCCTCCTTCCATCATTGACCCTCCTCTCCTAATAAAAACACTATTAAGCCCTACCCGGTTTGGCTCAGTGAATAGAGCATCAGCCTTTAGACTAAAGGGTCTTCGGTTCAATTCTGATCAAGGGCATATGCTCGGATTGCGGGCTCGATCCCCAGAGGGGGCGTGCAGGAGGCAGCCAATCAAAGATTCTCTGTCATCATCAGGCCTTTTCCTGTATGTTACACACACAGACACACCCATGCATGCATATGTGCACATATTCATACAGATGCATTTTTAACATTTATAGCTATTTCCAGACTGTCTGGCAAAAAGTCTTCCCAAGTGTAGTCTCATCAATATTGAATGAGAGAATCTGTTTCTCCCAGATATAATTCACACTCTTTTCAACCAGATAAAATTCATGTTTAAAATTTTTGCCAACATAATACATAAGAAATGGTATTTCATTTTTCACATTTACATTTCTTGAGTTACTATTTAGGTTAAGTACATTTTCATATATGTAGTGACCATTTGTATTTCTTTGATGTGTGAATTACCTGCTCTCCTTTGTCTATATTTCTACAGACCTGGTTTTTGTTTTTGTTTTGTTTTGTTTTACTTATTTAAAGAAGTGTTTAATATATTACAGATATTATATCAGAGAGGATTTGGTTAAATAAGATGGAAGTTTGTGTCTCTCGTGGAGGAAGCCTGGAGGCAGGCAGTCTGAGGCCAGAAGAGAGCTTCCTAAGGCCTTTCTTTGAATCTTCCCTTTCGCTGTGTCAGGACACCTTTGTGCGGAAGGGTCTTTCTCCCTCCTCCTTCCACAGTCAGGCCACAGCCTCTGTGCTCACTCGGTTTAAGGGCTTGGTTCTAGTTGCTCTCGCCTTGATGGGAGAAATACTAGGAAAATCAATGTTTTGTTGTTGCTGCTGTTGCTGCCACACGGAACAGCTAATGAAAATGCTCTGGTGGCCATTCCATATGATTCTTGGCTGTTGGTGGAGCATGAGCTCCAGGCTGGCAGGCATCCCCACCCAACCGGGTCCCCATCCTATGCATTGAATGAGATGCACTGGGCAAGCACAGGCATACAAATCTATTTGATTCTCTCTATGGCCTTTCAAACATCCTATATCATGTCTCTCTCTCCTCCCCTGCATAATAACTAAGGGAGATCCAGTAGCTTTTCTGGCCACTTTAAAAACATGAACAGAGAGTCTCTTTTGCAGGTATTAAAAAGTCTAGTCCACAATTATATCTCAATAAAAATTTAATTTAAAAAAAAGTCCTGTTCAATCTAAATCAAAACTTCAATTTCTCACTTAATTTACTATATCTCTGCTACCCTCAGGTTGGGCCTGGCTCAGCCTCAGGAACCTAAAATGACATCTCAGATCCTGAAATTCTTCCTCATGTGCTTTATAGTGGGGCAGGTAGGAGAAAAGGGGCAAAAAACACACAATTCTCCAGGAACTCTCTCTGGACATCAATCTCCCCCTACTCGTATACAGCCTGGGCATGGGTGATAGGCCGAGAGTCACAGAACTGGTTTGGGGAAACGTTTTAACAGGTATCTCTCTAGAATGTGCAGTCACATGTATATGCTGTTCTCAACTACACTCTTGAGTCTGGCAGAGACCCATTTTCCATCTTCTTAGGTTGGCCTAGAGGTTCTTGGCCACTGTGGGCAGTGCAGCGATCCCTGAGGCTGATGTCTCCATTGCTGACTACGGGAGTTCAGAGGGTGCAGAGGCAAAGCTGAAGTGTTTATGTGAAGCAAAGTGTTAGGCTCTTGTTAGACCCCTTCACAACCCATGTGTACTGTAAGCTCCTAGGGTATCTTTTTTTCTTTTTCTGGTACCATTTCTGACACCAAATGTGTGGGGATGTCCCATACCAGTTCTCCAATCCATCAGCATCAACCATGTGTCCAACAATTGAATTCAACTCGGACACTATTCAGAGTTGGCACAGACCCCACAGGTAAAGGGCTCAGTCCCACCAGACTGCTCCCTCTCCCACTTCATTCTCAAGTCCCAGTGGCCAGCCACCTATAAATTCAGGGGTTCCCACAACACCCGGTCAGGTTCAATGATTTGTTCGAACAACTCAGAGAACTCAGGAGAACACTTCTATTTACCAGTTTATTAGAAAGGATGCAAGTCAGTCAAATAGAAGCGTTGTAAAGGGCAAGGTATGAGACTGGGAGTGTGGAACTCTTACGCCCTCTCTGGGTACACCACCCTCCAGCCTTTTAATGTATTCACCAAACCAAAAGCTCCCAAATTTCATTATTGAAGAGGTTTTGGAACTCGATCTCTAACCCACCTTCTAATCTCAGGTCTGATCTTTCTAGCAATCAGCCCGGTTCTGATGTTACATAGGAGCCCCACCCTGGGTCACCTCATTAGCTTCAACGCAGATGTGGTCAAAGGTCATTATGAACAACAAAAGACACTCCCATCAGAAAATTTCAAGGGTCTTAGAAGCTCTGTGCCAGTAATTTGAATCAAAGACCAAATACTGTTTTTATTATACACGGCTTCTCAAGGTTCTTTTGTTTGTTTTTAACCAGCTCCTTTTAGTGCACATGTGGGCATTTACGCCCATATGCAGAAATTTTCTCCAAAGCTTCCTCACAGGTCCAGGATATAAGAAGAGAGGGATTTCTGATGCCAGCCATATATTAGTGATGCTAAGACCAGTGTAACAAAAAGAACTAACGGTCGGTAGCTTATAAGACAAAGAAGTATACTTTGGGTAATAGCATCAATGTGAACTGTCAACTTTTCTCCTTGAAGTAATCTTGGGATCACGGTCCCTTCCAAGTTGTTTTGCCATCCTCTGGGACACTGTCACCATCCATATGGTCGAAGCAGAGTTGCCATTATGTGGGGTCCAGCTGGTATGGAAGGGGAAGAGAGTGTGAAGGTCTAAAGTCCCAGACCTGGAAGTGGCATCCATCACTTCATGGTGTTATTGAGAATTCAGTCATGTTGTAATTGCAAGGCAGGCTGGGAAATGTAGACCAGTTGGAAAGCCGGGTGTCTGGCTACCGTTTTATTACGATGGAAGGAGAAGAGAACTTAGTAGTAGTTTCTATCACAGTTTGCCCCTCCAGCCATCCAACTGTCTGCTTGCTTCCTTCTTCCCACACATAGAATGTACTCACTCACTCCCCAAGGAAAACAACTCAGAGACCCATTCTCTAGTTCAAGAATTTCTACTAGATGTGCAGTTTTCTCCATTAGGTCCTCATACTCAGCCACCTATGCACTAAACATCAGCTTGTCTTCCCTCCCTGCCATCAATCAACATCGGAAAAACAAGACCAGGAGAAGTGAAATAAAGCCTCCTATTTGAATATACAGTAGTCACTGAACCATAGCAAATAATAAATTCTGTGAGGTAGGCATTGCGAAGGGTTCTTGCCCTGGCAATACACTGACTTCCCGGGCTAGGCCACTCCTGCTTCTGCTCTCACGGAATAACTCTTTGCCTATTCCCTTCTGAGCCCCCGCCCCCACCCCCGCCCTTTGAGAAGTATTTCCTGTTATCTGTTGCCCGGCATAGCCACATCAAAGTGACATGTTGGTGACTACACTCATGAGAGCTATTTTAAGTTTGAAAAAAATACAAGCTTTTGGTTACTTTGGTAAAACCATTTCCTCAAAAATATGGTAGACTTCTCTTTTTGTCTCCAGTTAGTTCCATTGCCTGTAACTACACTCCAAGTTCTTTCCTGGGTATAGTGTTAAACCACTTTATTTCTTTGTTTTCTCATTTTGATGGCAGTTACCTGGAGGCCATATAAAACAACAGGCTTGGAGAGGAAAACAACATCCACAGTTTGGGTTTTGGCTTAGGGCTGGTTCCTTTTTTTTTATCTTTAAGTGCAACAGGGTGGTTAATGGCAGTCCTTGGGGCAATAATAGCCTTATCTTCTTCTGTTTGGAGGTATACAAGCAGTTCGCTTTTCAAACTTTTTTTTCTCTTTATCTGATTGCAAATTGGTAGTTTTTTTCTTGGGTTACCTATTGTAATATGTCCTAAATGCAACAGAGCACAGTCAACGCCTACCAACATTCTAGCTCTTTCTAGCCATTTCTTCTCTAGCTATGGGCTCCATAGGAACATCAGTTGCCTTCCAAGTTATCACAAGTAATAGTTGTACCAAATATTTTGCAATGACATGACAAGAGCCATTAATTTTCTAGCCTAAAATATCTGTGCTTTTACTGCCCAAGCAAACCAATGCCACATATTTCAGTTTTTGATAGTGTCCCACTTATATGACTGTTGTCTCTATTAGTCAGAGTAAATACAAGATGCTGTTA